CCTTTCATGTAGAGTTGCCAGATGGTTTCTGACAAAAATAAATAAATAAATAAATAAAAAATAAAACACACACACACATCACACAGAGAAAAAAAGGACCTTGAGAGTTGCTCAGCACAAAAAAACCCCCCCAAAAACCCACCACACCAATGTGGCCCCTTTAAGAATTGCTTTTGAGGCTTTTTGGCCCTAACAGGCTGCCGGTGGCTGCCCGCCATCTTGCCTCACTGCACGGAGCCAGACAGATCTCCAGCAGAACCCAGTAAACACTAGGGTTGCCAGGCTACCTCCATACTGAGCTGGACAGCCCGGGATATTCGCCTCCTGGCCGGGAAAAAAAATAATAATAAAAAAAAAAGTCAGAAAATACCAGACATTTTAGGTGTCCTGTGTTTTCTGAAAATTTTTTACCAGACAGGAGGTGAAAATACCAAACTGTCCAGTTCAATACCAGACACCTGGCAGCCCTACCTCCATGAGCCAAATCTAGCCCCCAAAGATGCCAGATCTGGCCCACAGGATGCAGCAGGGAGTCTCAGGGAGATTCCCTCCCTGCCTGTCCCCTGCATGCTGCTGAGAGAAGTTGCTACCGGGTTCTGTTTGAATGGCTATAAGACTTCACTTGCTGCTCCCACCCACAGCACAATCCCATTGGCCAGTTTCAACCAATGGCAGCTGCCCATTGATATACTGACAGCTTGTGAAGCACCTTTCGTCCCTTCCCTCAGGCGCATAGCTGTTCAAAAACCACATGGCCCCTGCAGTTAGTACAGGGGCAAGGGGCCTGCTTGATGGGAGTCAGGCAGGTAAGTCTCCCAGCCAGAGCCTACCGCTGGTACCCCAAACCTTTGCCTCCCTACCCACATAACCCAAACCCGCTGCTATTCCCTCCTAAATCCTGTACCCAGTCCCCTGCCCTGGGTCACAGCCCCCTCCTATCCTAGATCACAACACAAACTTTCTGCCCCCTCTCTGGCACCCCTACCCCACATAACCCAAACCCTCTACCCCCTTATCTCCTCCCAGATCCTGCACCCCATACCCTGCCCCAGGTCACAACCCAAACCCCAGCACCCCTCCTGCATCCCAGTTCCCTGCCCCAACTCACAACCCCCTACTGATCTAGGTCACAGCCAGTGTTCCCTCTAAGCTGTGTGGCAGCACAGCTTCACAGGTGATAAAACAGCCCAAAACAGTCAGAGGCTCAGGGCTCTGTGCACAGAGCTTACTGTCTAGGCGGGGCTCACTAATCACCTGTGAGTCTGTGCTCCTGCTAGTTTAGAGGGAACGCTGGTCACAGCCCAAATCCCTCCGCCCTCTCCTGTACCCTAGTCCCCTTCCTCAGGTTACAACCTCCTCTTGTCCAAGGTCACAACTCAAAACTTCTGCACCCTAGTCCCCTAACCCAGGTCACATCAGCCTCCTTTACCCCAATTCCCTCCCAGACCCCACATCCTCTCCTGCACCCCCAATTCCTTACTGCAAACTCCTTTCTGCATCCAACCTACATCCCACACTCCGCAGTGGGGGTGTAATGGTGTAGTCGATTAACTGATTAGAAAAAGCTTATCAGTTAATGCTATAGACTACTCACATTCACTCCCAGCCCCAGCCAGTAAATTTTTTAGCAGGCTGGCCACCAGCCTAGCTCAGTCCCAGCTTCCACCAGGTTCAGGACCTACCTCTGCTGTGGCTCTGCATTTATAGTGTTTTAGAAAGCAGGTAGGCAGGCAGCCCGGCTCAGTTCCGGCGCAGCTCTCCCCCAGACAGGGCTGATGCCACCCCAAGCTGCTGCCTCTATCAGAGGCAGCAATGCAGGGCAACAGGCAGCTGGTCCATGAAGGAAGCTGTTTTTCAAACTGTTTCTCCTCCTGGACCAGCTCCTACCTACCACCCCACACTGCTGCCTCTGATACAGAGGCAGCAGCATGGAGTGGCAAGGGGTTCCTTGGGAGCAGGGCTCCAGCCGCACCCCCGAGGACTACAGAATAGTTGAGTGATCGATAAGAATTCATGAGGTTAATCGACTATTCAATTAACCAATATTTAACATCCCTACCCAGCACCTCCTTCATTAATATAGAAGTGTGCAGCCCTTGGCCACATTTCAAATTCATGGAGTGGCCCTCCCATAAAAATTATTTCCTATGCCTCGCTTAACAGCTCACAACTAGTCAAAAATAACTTTACAGGCTTTTTTTCATTTTCACAAAACCATTTAATTTAAACAAAGGGCTTTTACTTAAGAATAAAGTGCTAATTGACCATCCCTAGAGAACAGAAAAGCTGTATCCTTTAAGGGGAGAAAAAGGATAAGAGAGTACAGTAGGTACTCTCAAAATGGCAAAGAAATTCAATAGGAACTGTAAACCCTCACGAATACAGAGGTCACAAAGAATATGGAGAGGGCTTATGCTAGTGCATAAGGGGCCTTCAAAACTTGTGACTGCAACAGAAGTGCAACACTAATGATAGTACCTTATGATGAAAAGTGACACTTATTTGAAGAGTTAAACTACACTACTAAGAAAAATATTTAGGAGGTGTTAAAAGCTAGGACATCCCAGAAGTAATCAGAGACTACAGTTCCTCTGAAAAAAAGGAGAACAGCAACCAATGACATGTCAGGAGACAATGCTCAAAGCTATCGCCTCATCATTATATAAAGAGTATTTTAACTCAGGCATTATGCTGAAAAGCACAACAGCTCTGCCACTTCAAAACCAACTCTGATGCATCCTGCTAGGGAAGTTAGATATCAGGTAACAGAAGAGTCAAGTAACCACATAAATTCCTATTGATTACTCAATTATTCTGTAGTTCTGGGGCAGGGCTGTAAGCCAGTGTAATCTGGCCCCACTCCTGGGAAGCTCCCTGACACCCCACACTGCTGCCTCTGTATCAGAGGCAACAATGTGGAGTGCCAGGCAGGAGCCAGGCCACGAGGGGAGCCACTTTAAAAAACAGAAGCAGCAGGTGGGGTGACAGAAGCTCAGAGGTGGCGGCTGCCACAAAACAGCCTCTGCGCACAACTGACCGAGCTAGCCATGGTCAGAGGCTGGTCCAGTGGCAGCCTCCCCTGGCTCTCCCAGGTGCAGCTGTCTCTGATAGAGGCAGTGGGGAGAGAGGGGGGCACACAGCACCATGGAGCCAGTGCTGGGGGGAACCAACTTTTAAGATGGCTCTCCCCAGCACCTCTTCCCCTGTGCTGCCTCTGAAACAAGGAAGCGGGGTGAGGAGTGGGAGGGGTTACAAGTAGTTGACTAAATTAACCATTAAGCCTTGGCTTATCAGTTAATTGTCTAGTCCAGTGGCTCCCGAACTTTTTCATACCGTGGACCAGAAAACCCATTCACAATCTTTCGGTAGACCAGTAACATTTTATGTGCATATTCATTATTCAAATAATGAATATGCAGATATGAATATAAAATGTTACCAATCCGCCAAAAGCCCCAGAGCTGCCATGAACTGGTTTCAGCTTCAGCAGTTGCAACGTGGCAGGTGGCTGCCTCAGTTGAAGCTGGCTATTTGTGCCCCCCCAGTGCCAGCCCTAACCCCTATATGACCCCCACTACCCTCCAGTCCCTGACCCCAGAGTCCCCAGTGCCAATATCCTGCTCTCCACCCACTCCAGTGCCAGTCTCCTGTTTCCCAAGTCCCACTACACCCAACTCCCTAGAGCCCTCTCCAATGCCAGTCCCCAATATTAGCCCCATCCTCAGAGCCCCCCAGTACCACCCCTGCCCTCATAGCCCCCCCCACTACTAGCCCTGTCCCCAGAATCCCCCAGTGCCAGCTCTCCACCCCAGAGCGCCAGTGTCAGACCCCCACCTCTTAGATCCTCCCACCCCTGAGAGCTCCCCAGTACTAGTCCTGCCCCCAGAATCCTCCACTATAACTTCACCCCCCCGAGTTCCCTTGTGCCAGCCTGCCAACTCTTAGACCCCCACCCCAACACCCCAACTCCCCAGCATTAGCCCTGCCTCCAGAGCCCCCAGTGTCTGTCCCGACCCGACCCCCCCCCCCACCTAGCCCTGTGTTGCCTCCCAGCTGCACGCTGTTGCCCAGGTCAGAGATGCTCTAAGGCTGCTGTGCCACGCTCCACACGGTCCTCCTGCTGCACAGCGAACCACTCTTGCGCATCCAGGAGGAGACCCTGCCCCTGCCTGGAGCCGGTTAGTTGAGAGGCAGGGCAGGACACGCCTCCTCCTACAGCCCTGTGGGAGGAAAGGTGCTGAGCGGTGTATCCTAGCCCCAGCTCCCAGAGCTGCTGGGCCCAGTGCCGGTCTGCAGACTGGCAGTTGGGAACCGCTGGTCTAATCGACTACTCATTGACATCCCTACTTCCTGCAGTTTCTCTTCCTTCAACAAGTGACTCCAGAATGGTCTGCAATATTCCAACCACAGCTGGATATAGGTTTTTCTTCAGCCACCTCCTCCTCCTCCCCCCCCCCCCCCCCCCCCACCTGCACTCATATTTTCCTCCTTTTTTCCCCATAAAGATATTTTATGGGCACAAGATACAATCTGGATCCTGGAGATACCCTCTTATCTCCTCTAATACAAGTGGTGCAAACTAAACTGCAAGGGTGAAGGATTCATATCCTTGCTACTAGTGTCTGCCTACATACACCCTGAGGAGCTGGAGGGAGATTCCATTCCCCACCAAAAAAAGCCATGAAGCAAAGAAATGGGTGGAAACTTGGTAAGGGGGAGAGGAAGGAGGAACTGATGCTTACCATTTCTAACAATGAATCCAAAACCTTTCATTTCAAGGACAGGGGATGGTGCACTCAAAAAGGAGGGAGCGAATGATATGATTTGCCCTATATGCCAGATTCAGCTCACAGTATGTAGAAGGAAACCTGAAACAGTGCCAAGGAACAGTGTAAACGTTCATCAATGGACCAAGATATTATTCTACATTCTCAGCCTTCACAGGAGAAGACCTTGAAAGTCTTGAAAATCTGACAGGCAAAAATAAATGTACAAATTACCTGGTAGTTGTTTTGGTTTTGTGACAGCCTCAGTTGATTTGAAGATGCAAAATGAGGAGAAAAGTTGCTTCTTGATGTATTAGCACTACTATACAGTGTACTGGAGGGTGTATGTAATGAGGTCCGTGGAGGCAAGCGGTAGTCTCTGTTATGATACAATACATTGTCAGCCAAGTCCCTGGCATTCACCATATGTGAACTGCAGCTTGCATTTCTGCCTGGTCCAGACAAAGCTGTGCTTTGGTTCTCTACTCGAAGGGAACTGCTATTTTCACAGAATCTTGAATAACTTTGAATTTGTGCTCCCATAGATGCTAGCTCTTCTTCTCTAGCATATTCATCATCAGCATCTCCTGTTTCCATTGCAATGGACAGGCAACTGCCTTCAACGGAACAAGGCTTCTGTGTTGTATTTCCTCCCATAATTCTTTGAGGTTGATCTGTAACTGCCAAAGAAAAAACTTCACGAATTTCCAAGTTGTGTGTGCTACAAGAAGGGTCTCGAACATTAGCTCTTTGTCCAGATGGGATGTGTGATACAAGGGCTGTATGTTCTGGTTTGTGTAACCTCTGACATCCCATGGGTTCAGCTTTACATGGCCTGTGGCATATTATTGGCTTTTGAGGTAACACCAACTCTGCAGTCTGGACTGATGAACCACCATAATTTTTCTTAGTATGACTGTATATGGAGTTTGCAGAATTCAAGACACTTGTTTGTCTTGACAAAATAATAGTTTTTTCCCCCAGGAGCAGCGAAGCACCTTTACAATGTGGTGCTTGCCGTACTATAGGGATATGCTGCTGCTGAAATTCGGTATCACTTTTTCCAGGTGGTCTCTGAATAGAGTTTTTATGTATCTCAGTCATTGAAACGTTAGTCTGTTTTGTGGATCCCTGTCTGCTGGATGAACTAGCTGGACTATATATACCGGTTACTATTACATCGTTATTAGATGTGGTCCAAGAAGACTGCTGGCTTTGGGATCGAGCAATGTTTACCACATTTCTGACGGCTACTTCTGGAGGCACTGGAGGGGTGCTAGGAACAGTTCCTGGTGGTGTACCTCCCGATTCTGCAACATTCTTGCTGCTCATCTTTCTTCTTTTATTGCCAACCCAAGTCTGCAGATATAAAATATTAATATATAAAAATGTTAGTCAAAGTCAGTTTTTTCAATATTCAGAGCTTCAATCCTGCTAAGACTTCAAACACATATATAAGTCTTGACAATTAATATTTAAATTACTCATATATTAGAAATGGTTAACAATGAAACATAGTTATGAGGCAAGGGGAAAGAGACCTCTATCGATCATGCAAAAATAAAGTCAGATGATAGGGATCCAGGTTGCATTTTATCCAAATGCCTGAAGTTCTGATTTCCAATAATGGCCCATCTCAGAAAAGAATATACAATTTGTTGCATCTCCCCTCTTCTTTTCCCAAAATTATCTTTGCATAAATGTGGCAGCAGATCATGGTTTTCTCCTCCATATACTTGGGCTTTGTTTTATCTTTCATTGTTTAGTGTCTAAAAAAACCCGCTATACAATAGCTGTCTTAATTCCTTCTCCTTCCCTATTTCAACTTTTATATCCAACGACAATAAGGTGTACCTGAAACCAATAACTGTATTGAGACAGTCAGCATAAATCAATATCTTTACTATCCATTAACTGAGGAGATGTTTTCAGAACTGCCATACGACAGACACTATCTTCTCTTATATGTAGTCCACAATGAAGTACCAATGAATCTCAAGACAAGGGAAGAGTTTTTCCAACAGAAAGGGACTGAATCTAAAGAACTAGATTGAAAATTAGTCCAAAAAGTATTTTAAAAAGTTAGCCTTTTAATAACATTTTTACATCATATGCCTCAAGACCTGCTTTTAGGCTATGTCTAGACTACAAGCCTCTTTTGAAAGACAGCATCTAGACTACAAGCAGATTTTTCAAAAAAAAGCAAGCCGCTTTTTTGAAAGAGTCTAGACGCTTTCTTTTGAAAAAGCAGTTTGCATTCAATAGCGCCTTTTTTTGAAAGAGTACTTTTGAAAAAAGGCGTTATTCTTTGTAAAATGAGGTTTATCGCGATAGAAAAAACTGTCGTGTTCTTTTGATTTACTTTCGAAAGAACGTGGCTGCAGTCTAGATGCAGGTGAAGTTTTTCGAAAAAAGGCTACTTTTTCTAAAAAAATCCTGTAGTCTAGACATACCCTTAGCGAGAAATTGATTTGATTACAACAAATAATACAAAGTATCGGGTTCAGGTTCAACAGAGACTGTAACTTCCTGATACAGATATTTCTAGAATAATATACAAGATATTTGAAATAGTGGAGCTGTTTTAAGTTTCTTTCTTTAGAAGAGATCAAGCTAGAGGCCTTTAGTGATTCTATACAAAAGTTCCACAAACCCACTACTGGTTTAAAAAAAATACAGCAAGTAGAAAAATCTGCTCTGAAGCAAATGAATAAAAATGTATTTAAGAAACAAAGAGAGAAACATTAACGTAAGCATTTCAATAGTGTTGCTAGTACCTTATTAGAAGCAGCATACATAGGAATTGATGCTGTGAGTGCTACAGAGCTGGAACACCCATGGGATAGTGGGGAAGATGGGTGCTAGGAACCCACCAGAAGTCCCCCATCAGTACCTTCCTCTTCTCTCAGTGCCTCCCATCTGCTGTGGATCAACTGTTCCATGACATGCAGGAGGCACGGGGGGGAGGGGGAGAGGAGAGTGGGTGGGCGACATTCCCCAGTAGGGATGTGACCATGTAGTGAAGAAGATGGTTAACTGATGAGGCTGGGCTCATCAATTAAACCTCTCAGTTATAGGAGGGCGGAAATCTGGTGCTCGTCAGGAGTCAGTTTAAAAGTTGTCCCCTCCCCCCCGAACACTGGCTCCCACAGATCTGCCTCTCTCCCTCCCCTTGCCAGAGGAGGAGGGCAGTCAGGAGTTGATACACTCAGGGAGCTGGCATTTAAGATGGCTCCCCACCCGTACTAGCTCCCGCCAAGCCAACCACCCCCCTTGCCTCTGATACAGAGGCAGTGTGGGGAGGGGGAGAAATGGGAGCTGGTGCTCCCAAGCATCAGCT